GAATAGACGCCTCTTAATGTACATTACATATTAGAATAATATAGCAGTGGTTACGCAAAAAACTCTACTTGGAGCAAAATTACAGTAGAGAAGAAAGTGTTTTTTAGAATACAATGAACACATGTCATCATTTTATAGTAAAAGATTTAGACCAAAAAGAAAACTCTAGAAAACCTGAAGATAAATCCAGTTCATAGTTGATTACACTACAACCATAATCAATTATGACTTAACAATAATGAAAAGTTTTGATGGATTAAAAACAAAATCAATTACTAGGTCTCTATAATAAATTACTAAGTCAATTTCGCCTCATGTTCAGATTAGAAAAATGTCATAAACTAGAAGGTGTTTTTGAAAAAATATATGAAGTTTTCAAGAAAAAAAATATTTGTAAGTGTGTGTATGACTTTAATACATTGAAAGGAATATACACAAGTTAAAATTTTGAGTCTAGAAAAGATAAGATAGTTAAGCACATCGTTAGGTAACGAGTGTTTAGCAAATAAGTTTATTTATTGATGTTGTTCTTATATTTGATTTTTTAAGCAAATCATAATAAACTTCTTGCTTCTTTATTTAAGTTATTATTTCTTCTTTATATGATGATATTTTTTATATCTTGCTTTATTTTTCCTTTGGCGTCATTAAACTCTTTGTTCTACTTTGACATCATCAAAATCTATTAAGTACATAGAACTACAAAAAGTATATAATATTTTGTACAAGGTTGCAATCTTTTGAGGTAAACATATCAATGAGATTTGTCCTGAACTAGAGTAGAGGATGATTGATTTGGTGATAAAGGTCATTGTGGAAAAAAATTTATGCAATGGAAACGATTCTCTGGTAATCGGGGAGGGTACTTACAGTAAAGGGTGGTACTCTAATGCTCAAATCCAAACGAAATTGAGGTGGGACCTTGCAAATGTTTAGCGAACCATACATGGGTGTGACTCAAGTAAGGGTAGTAAAATTGACTCGGCCCGTTGAGCATTGCCCATTTTCCCACCTTACTTTTTTGTGAGACGGACAAACGTTCTAGGCTTGCACTCTCTAATATGTATGTCCAACCCTACACTGGGTTTTTACGGGTTTTTGCAAGCGCTAACATTAATATAAAATTTTGTAATTTTTAGGCTAAAAAATGTGCAGTGTCTGCAAGTTCGCCCTTATTTTTTTACGGGGCTGGCCAAGGTTTTAAGCCTGCTCTCTACATAATGTTTTCCCCGCCCCGCCCCATTTTTTTGCCGACATTTATGTGACGAGATTAAATATGGCAGACATACCCGTTTATCACCCCTGAACTTAAGGTCACACTTATATATGAGAGATTGTTGTAATTGTCTTTGGGTTGTCCCACGTGGAGCACGGGTGACCATTGGATGGTGATTTAGTGGCTCAAAGTGAAAGGGGTGATATTCTCATGTGTTGCAACAAGGGATGTAGGTCCACCTAAACGTCATCATGTTGATAACCTTGTAGAGATTGGAAGTCTTGTTGATTGTTGGCCAACCCATAACAGTTGACCCAATAGTTCTTGATGCCAATCATGAAGCGAGGGTCTCATCCACTAAGCGGAGACTCCTTGCTAGGTGTGAGTGGTTTGTAAGAGGAACATGTACATTAAATGTGTGTGGAATTAATGAAGTATTTATATGGCAACCTCCAAGCTTTTACACGCGTGTAGGGGAAGATAATGCGCATATGCCTACTCAAGTGAGATTTTTATTTAGAGAAATGATTTGGGTCATTGGATGGATTCTTTGAGCTTCAGTGGATCGTGGTTGTTGAATTCGGTTATTTATTTACCTTTAAAGTAAGAATTTGTAACTTATTCACACTTTTTATACTCTTTTTTGCTCAAAGATCTTCTTCAGATAATCTTTTTTCGTTCGCTTTTTATTCTTTAGAGAAAGCTTCCAGATTCTAATTTTTTATTAGATTATATGCATTAACGCTAAATCTTCGGTGAAACTGCTTTAAATCTAAGGTGTTTCCCTTTTCTTTTCCTTTTTCATTACTGAGATTTTATCTGGATTTGAACATGGAGAATCTCATAAACCTATTTGTAAGAATCCCTCTTTTAGAACTTAGTGATGTAGCATTTACCACTGAACCAGAAGTGATCGACCTTGTCACCAGTATTAACATTAACTAGTTTGGGATGGAATGTATCCTTCAAAAAGTCGAATTAGCTAATCCCATTGTCCAAAATGTCATGGATGATTCTAAAGTACAGATTTTTTATAGGTGTATAAAGTGTCACTTCAAGCGTTGACTTAGTGTTGAAGAAGTAACGTGGTGGTTGGAGAAAAATGTTAGATGTAGAACTCATAATCATTATTTTTTTTCTTTGAACATGGACGAGGAAATGGGAGAAAATCTTCATTATAACTTCCTGCTAATGTTGACTATTATTGTTGGGTGGATGGTGAAATCTTTGGTTGTTGGTCTTTATATTTTTCTAAGGAGAGGTTGGAGATATTATTGCCAAAATGTAAAATTGTCCTCTGAATGGTAGATAATTGTACCTAAGGCATAAATAAGAATTTTTTGCTATTTTATGGTAATGTGGCATCCTCATGTAGGAATTTGTTTTTATCTGGTGCAGGTCATACTTCCCTTCAATAATTTTGAGGTCGAATTACATTATCATTTAGGGGTCGCTCATCTCAAGTGCATTCATTCAATTGGGTGTGTGAAATTTTTTTAATATTAATATGAAAACAATTAGAGTCATCATAATCTTATTATGTTCTTCCATCTATTTCATTGGTCGAAGTACAATGTCATAAATTTTTTAAAATATACAGACTCCTTTAAGAATTTAAGGGATAATATTTTCTTTATGGTTCCCCTCAATCGAATTGCGCCCGAAATATTTTGTGAGATTTCAGAATTGGCGATATTTTATGTGGAAGAGGTTTTTCTTTATTTCGTTCTTAGATTAATGGTAGCCTAAGACGATGTCCTTAGTACTATCATATGTCTCCGGCTATCAGAGTTTCTCCAAAGATACAAGGGATGTGGCATTTTGTGATTCTTTTCATGAATGAGGTCTGTTGTGAACGAGCGATGGATTATTTACCGAACAAAACTCACATGATTTCTAGTCATGTCATTAATCACTCATGTACGTCCACAATTTACAAGTAATTTGTCCACAGTTTTGAGGAATTTTAACCAATGAAAAATAGCCAAATATTTTTATTCCTTAGGAAATTTGGTGTGTGGAGAGAAAATGAGATTTTGAATATGCTTTTTTTATACTACTTTATTTTGGATTAAATATGTTTATCATCTCTCTAAAATTAGACATTTTCATTTTTCATTCCTCTAAAAAATTTTGTTAAAGAAGCATTCTTCTAAAATTAAAAATTTTAACTTTTAGTCTATCCTGTTAAAATCATCGCTAATTCAGTCGCTGACTTATAAAAGTTATCGCTAAATTGTAGAAGAAATCAAAAGCTAAAATTCCTAACTTAAATATATAATTCTTTTAACGAATTTTTTTAAAGAGACAAAAACTTATTTAACCCTTATAACACTAATTTGTGTGAGAAGGGAATGATATATATTAACACTAATTTGTGTGACCTGCAAATGATGTACAATTATCATTCCCTTGTTGTCGAATTCGTTCAAACCATATTGGTGATATAAAAACTGTAAAGGAGAATGGGCATAAATAAGATAAGACACCACACATCAAACAAATCTGATTTGCAAATTCTATATGTGGAACAAAACAACCAAAGCCATGTCATTTCTCTAACCCACTTTCTAAAAGCTTTCCTCAAATTCCATAATTAATTAATTAATTAATGTATAGAGAAGATAATTTTACAAAGTGTGCTTAAAGTGTACTTAAAAGGAGGCGATGACTTAATTATTTTATCATGAGAGACTCCAATAATTGTTATCTTCTCATTAGGGAAAGATTGTGATTGATATGCTAAATTGAGCAATATCTTTTAATCCATGTGATGTAACACTTTGTATATGGCCATGGTACAATCACTTAAAGATTAAGCTAATCTCACTAAAGAATAAGTGGCTATACCTATATCCACTCATAAAGCATTCGACCTTCCCTCTCCCACCATCTCCATGGTTACAAATTGGACGGTGCTAACATATTGTAACACTTGTTGTTTTGCCACTACTACTACTTTAACCAACTTTTCATTATTATATAATTTATATGTTCTCTTCTTTTTACCTGTTTTCCAATCCTTTCTAGCGTCTTGTGCTCATCGAGAAAAAAAATGATAATACAACTAATTTAACTTTAGAAAAACAATTTTTCAGGTAAAGACTTTCCATATTTATAAACTAATATTCATATTATATCTGGTCGTTTAGTAACTTTTAGATCGTTCATGATCAGGATTATAAATCGAGTGTGGTTCAAATAGTCTAATAGAAGTAGTAGGGGTGTTAAAAAAAACCATGAACCATGAACCGGCGAATTCAATAGAGATTAAAATAATCAAATTTTTATGTTTGGTAAGTGAATCATACTATATCACACATATAATTTTAAAATCGAATCGAAATTAAAATCGAATTGACTGAAATTGAAGATGAACCGAATCAAAATTGAAAATGAAAAAAAAAAATATTTGTCTCAATATGTCTCTAATAAAATATTTGTGTCTAAGTCTTATCTTATTCATAAGAAACTTTTAACATTAAATGTAAAATAATAATAATAAATTTAAAATTTTCTCTCGTTATTGAAGGTTTTTATGAATATGAATTTAAGCGTGTTTCCGTGCAAGATTTTATCTACTTATGAAACAGCTTTCTACTATAGTATCAAAACCTTATCCGTAAAGTGATGCTTTTGAGAGACCTTTTGGAAAGATAGTTTGAATATTACAACACGTTGCAATCTTTTGCTTTTTGCAGCACTATTCTCTTTTTTCTGCTTTTTAAATTCCCTAACAAGTTGGAAACCGGATATATGTTATATCTTTGCCTTTGGAGAGACACTATATATATGTATGCTGGAAGTTTAGGAAATAAGAACCCTTCCCCCATTGTTGATTATTCAAGAGCCACGTAAAAGCCAGAATATGGAGGAAGAAGAAGAAGGAGATGAAGAGGATGAAAGCAAATGTATTCAGTTCTTGAACACTATGCTTCTCACCTTTTGAAGAGAGAAGCATGAAATTAAAAGGCAACTCATAGAAGGCTAAGGGAAGGCAAAGCCTTTCTTCCAGGTTCCATTCACAAAGCAGCAACTTCACTTCACTGGTGATTCCGACAACTGCATCAAATCAGACACAGTCTGTAGTTTCATCTTTAATCAATGTTTATATAATGTTGTACTTGTATCTCTTTTCACTCATTCTTTAAAATTTGATAGTAACTGTGATTGTATGTGATAGTATGTGTCTATTAAGGCAAACAGCATAAACTGTGATAGTAACTGGTAATGTAATGTTTACCTCTGTACTTTTTGCTGCAAGCCATGAGTAAAATGGTAAAGAGTTTTGTTGTCACATAGAAAACTTAATTGTTTTCTACTGTTAACATTTACCTTGTGCAGTAAACATGTTTGTTGTCTATGCTTTTTCGGATTTATGTGATGAGGCCTGTCCATTTGTTGTCTATGATATTTGGAAGAGCATAACATCTCCACATGGCTGAACAAGCATCTTTTTTCACCTGTACAACGGTAGAGCAAACAAAAAGCACTAAGATTGACGTCTAGTACTTTATTTAAATGAATTACAACTCTCACACCAGTGAGTGTTTGGAACTAGAGTGAAACTGTGTTCAAACTCGAAACTTGGGTGAAACTATCTACCGCAGTTCCAAACATGCGATCATAGGTCTAAGCTCTAGGCAATAATGTGTTTCAATCACATAATAATCTCGATTTTGTTTTCAACAAATGCTCTTTGCTCATGCATCTAGAGTTCAACAGCACAAGAAATATCGTCGCTAACAGATCAACTTGTAACGATATATACTGTTGTGTAGAAAATTACTCAACTTATTGCTGTTTCATAAACTTCATAAGAGTGGCATCCATCAATTATATCCACCATTACAAAGTCATGCGTCAATCTGTCGATGTTAATGATATATTCATTTTTTTCTATAAGAAATAGCCAGCAAAGTACACATGCATTTGGACATTGCCTACTAACTTGGTATATATAGAAAACAGTCCTAATTTCTCAATCATTTAGTTCAGATAAGCATGGGGAAAAACTTTCTGACTACAAATACACCCTCGAAGAATCACTACTTGTTATAGTGCCTACAGGATTAGTTAATCGCTCTCTTTTTTTCACCATCAACAATTCAAGACATCCTATACAACATTTGAAATTAGCTATTGGCAATAACTATAACAAACTCTATTCAAGATCTAAACTCTTCTTCATATTTTCATAAACCATATAAGTAATGCTTGCAGCCGGCACAACTTTGAGGAGATTTGGAATGAGTCCCTTGTAGAACCCTCGAAAGCCTTCGTCCTTAAGGGTTTTCCAGAAAACATCAGACATTCCATTGTAAGCACCAGAAGTGTTTGTAGGTTGTGCTTGCAACCTGAAAAGCATGACAAAGTAATGTGAGTCAAAAACATACATATGGTATCAATTCTAAAAGGCTAAATTATATTTTTGGTCTCTTAGGTTATTCTTTAAGTTTCACTTTGGTCCCTTGAGTTTTTTTGTTCCATAACTTTTGGCATAAAATAATACCTTGTCCGAATAACCTGCAGTGGGTAGACACAAGTAGCTCCAAGAGCTCCCGAAACCGTTCCACAGCCGAGTTGAACTAGAGCACCAGGTTCTATTAAAAGGAACAAAAAAAACTTTAAAAGGTTGAAATGATAGAGGTGTCAATTTACCAATAAGAATATAAGATCCAAAAGAAATAAAATAAGTTCAAGACAAGAAGCAGTTGAAGTAATATCATACCTCTGTCATAAATAATATATTTCTTGGATAAATCTTTTAAGGTGTCATATGCAGTGAGATCAATGCCTGCATAAGGAATCATACCAAGAAGAGACGGAACAAGCCCTCTATAGAAAGCGCGGGGTCCCTCTTGGACCCATATATCTTTGGTAAGTGTTCCAAGCCTAGGACCCTTTCCACCTTCAGAAGCACAAGTTTGTAACCTAGTTTTGATTAGATCCAGAGGATAGATAGCAATCTGCGCAATGGCACCAGCCATGCCACCTGCAAAAAGTCTTCCAGCAGTCCCAATATCTGACTTGTTCCCTTGACTATCTCCAATTACATTTTTTAGCATTTCGTAGGCGTAAAACTTGATGGCACTCTCTGGTGCAACCTTCACAACATTCAATCCATTACCTCGGAAAAACCCTAATAAACCGTCCCGTTGCCATATCTTCATTACTGCTGGCATAATTGAAGCATTTCCAGTCTGAATTTGTAATACCACCTTTAAACGGTCAAGAGGAGCAGTTGCTGTGCGAGATGCAGCTCCTGCTATTCCCCCGGCGATAAAATATCGGCTCCTGTGCACATGCTTGCTGATGCCTTCCGGAATGACAGCTTGTTCTCCGATGTCTACAAGGCACACCCTCTCCCAATGCTGATATATATTTTCAAGGGTTGCTTCATGAGGATAAAGCAGAAGAAAATCTCTCCATTCTTCAAAAGTGATAATTCCGTTATTATCCTTATCAACATGCTCAACAAAGCGTGCAAGTTCCACCTCATCAATTTCAATCCCTGCAACATCAAAGCTGACTTAGTTTATGATAAATACTACTGGATAAAAATGGAACGAGGGAATGGATAAATCTTACACAAAAGTAAGCAAGCAAGTAAACACAAAATATACAAAAGAATTCAGTAATCCACCATCAAAGATTGAAGTTGCATCGGCCTTCACAATCACAAGCCCCAAACACAATACAAATCCAGAGAGCTGATCACAAATTTCTTTTGAAAAAGATTCTATTTCTATAAACAACGCAAACGTACATCCTCAAAAGAAACATGTGTTCACAAGGTTTACCAAAGCAATGAATGATTATAAAACCCCCGCAGTCTCTCAATATTTGTTCATGTATGATTGATATGAGTTATGTTATAACAAGGGATATAAATGACCTCCGAATTAGGTCTCAAACAGTACATTACTAGCTTCCTTATTTAAGTAAGACAATTGCTAGGGTGAGCAACCATCACATGTCGTCTACCAAGAATAGATGTTTCAAAATCGATCAAAACTTTTCTACCTTTAATTAGAAATTCGAGGTCCACCGCATCTTTACGACTTAGACAATGACCAGATCAATATGTTGATTTAATAAATACTAGATAAAACTGATAAAAGTTTAGTTTTGATGCACTAATATTAATTTTCTGTGTTTTTGTTGAATCGGCGATTGAAATGTTTAGGCTGTAATACGACGAATTTCTATTTACAGTGAGCAGTAATCTTGTTATTGTTTCAAACAATTTCAAGGATTGACCCCCCATAGTCCATATGAGACACTTGCCCACTCTAGAAGGCACATTTGCGTAATTCAATATCATTTAGAAACTTTCTATAGAATCTACAAATTCGGGTATGGGATAACAATCTAAGATTTTCCAAACAAGGTCGCAATCCACAATCAGAGGCAGTTTAAGTTGATGAGTAGCATGAATTGTTGTCAACATATCTTGGCCCACTCAATGAAAAGTAAAAACGCTAAGCAACAACACATAAATGGAATATGCATGAAAGGAACAAGACTTAAAAAAGAAAGTGACTAAAAGAATACCAGCCTTGACAAGTGCATCCCAAAGTTCTTCAGGCAGAATACAGCCATTATGTTCAACATCAATAGCTTGAAAAATCCTATAAAGTTCAAGTTCTTTATCATCCATATACCGTCTAAAATCATGATAATCGATTCTCCCATCTCTATCGGCATCACAAACCTTGAAAAGCTCCTTAGCATATTTATACTCCGGCGGTATCTGAAGTGCAGACAACCCCGCTTCAATGTGAGGATAATCCAAGTAGCCATCATCGGTAGCGTCAAAGAAATTGAACAAACTCCGAATACGAAGATCCCTTTCTTCTTTAGTCTCACGTAAAGCCAAAAGAACATGATCCATTGAAATTGAAGCGGTTTTCTTGCCGCGGCCGTGATCGGTGGCCGGAGATGATTTGGGTTTCGAGAAACCGACGTGATCCATGTCTATGGCCCCAGACATGTTGTTTGTTAATGGAATGGGGTTTTGTCAGAGAGGAAAACCCAAAAAAGCATTTGAATAGTGAAGAAACTGGGCTTTAGAATAGATCTGAAAAGAAAAAGAGTGGGGTTAGAACGGTCAAATCAAAATATCGAAACTGACGAATAAAAATAGTGTTTATACATTAAAATTGACTAACAACAGTGAAGCGCAATTTAAACGAAGAAGAAGAAGAAGAACTTACCTGTAATGGGTGATGACGGTTTGTGTATTGGAAAACTAATTAATTAATATTTATATGATAAAATAAAGTAGAATCAAAATCAGGGTAATTAAGAGGGGAGAGATTGATGGGAACAAAGATTCAGATTGTGATTGAGTTAACTTATAACATAACTTGTTTTATTATGATAAAGGAAATTTTTTATTATGATTTCATTTATGGTCAAATATTTATATTTATGGTTTACAAAACTATTAAAGGATTTTATTTCATATATCATATACTAAATTATAATTTTAAAATTTCTCTAACTAAAACTTTTCGATTTTATCACAGACTTAAGCCTCAATTGGAATTCCTATATGCATTAGAAAGGAATTTATATAAAATAAACTAAAAATATCTCTTTTAGATTTTCTACTTTTTGAAAGATTTTTGGTTTTGCCTTCCAATTTTTTCTTTTTTATATTTTCGGTTTCATTAAGAAAAATCTAGAAATTCTCTAACAAAAACTTTCAACAAAAAATTAATAATAGATAGAACAAAAAATATTATAAATTAATATAAATATTTATTCAACATAGTTTTATATTTAAGGATAGAGGTAGTATTAAAGTTAGCTTCTATATTTCTAACTACCTATAAAAATAGTCAACACAAATAATTAATTTAAATATTTAATTAAATAAAAATTAAAACTAAATTATAATCTTAGAACTTTTCTAACAAAAAATTTCTTTACAAAAGTAATAATAATTAATACATAAATAAATATTATAAATTAAATTAACTTTATAATATTAAAATTAACCTCGACATTTTCAAATGTCTAAAAAGTAATTAATAATGTGATGGAATTTCTAATCCTAAAGCTTCTTTTTTTAAAGAACGGACATTCATGTTATTAAATCAATCAACATTATTGGAATTTGGTCTATTAATAATATAAATTAAATTTTTTTAATATATGATATTTTTGAGAATTTTTTTCTCCATTTTTATATTTTTTTAGTCATCTCTAACGAAATTTCATTTTTATCTTAAGAATTTAGAAATGTATTATCGAAATTACGAAATTTCGTTTTTGAGGTGAATTCAGATATGTATTTTCGAAGATATTCAATGTTATAATTCGAATGTACATTTTCGAAATAGACACTAATTGATTTCAATAAAAAAGAAACTTTAAAACAGAAAATTATGTAGATATAACATAGAGATATTGAAACATTGATAGTATATATATATATATATATATATATATATATATATATATATATATATATATATATATATATATATATATATATATATATATATATATATATATATATATATATATATATATATATATATATATATATATATATATATATATATATATATATATATATATATATATATATATATATATATATATATATATATATATATATATATATATATATATATATATATATATTACATAAACAATAACATAAATTTAACATTGAAAGTCGAAATTACATAGATATTGAAACATAAATTTAACATTATATGTTGTTATAAACGGGTAACTGAGGACGTCACAACATTTTGATAACATCTTCACGGATCTCCGAATCTTTGCATCCAATTCAATTGGATCCTTAGTAGAGTATCAGCGAAAAGAACTCCACATAATCTGAAATACTGGTATGCAGATATCAGATGTCCTAAGAGATGTCGAGACAGTGATATTTGATTAAAATACAATGACAAGTTAAACACAATTAAAAGTACTGTAAGAAAATGAACACGCAGAGTTGTTAAAACAAGTTTGGTGTACAACAACACCTACGTCTAGGGGCTACCAAGTCAGGGAGGAAGTCCTGTTCTGGACTGGGCCTGCCCTTGGCCCAACTCCCAGTAAGGCACAATCCAAGTGTGTCAACCTGCACCACTGACCGGTTCTATCCTCGAATACGGCGGGCAACTACCACCTTTTTCCCATGAGGAGACAACCTCACCACACGGGGACAACACCCCGAGTAGACTAAGGACGGTCAGCTCCGACCATGAAGGCTTGAGGACACTCGACTAGCTCGTTGACCAAGACTGGTCCCCTCACTCGACCTCACGTATCGCGGGGATCACCCACGACAGGCAGATCCTCCTCTCGAGCATCCTCCTCGTAGGGCTGACTACCAACGTCTCCGGATATCACAGTCTTCGTGGCCCCAGAAATATCGCATCTGCTGTACCCCAAAATTTTCCCTCTCATTTCTCAAGAAATTTCTCACAAGATTATAAATTGCTCAAAATTGCACAAGGATTGATCAGCTCAAGACACATCCTCAACACTGATGAATCAAAATTAGGGTTTGAAATTGTATAAGGACAATTGGACTCTTAATGCTTCATATAACTTTCATGGATCATTTTGGACTCCCAAGATTGCTCATGTCAAGTTTCAAGTTTTGGATCACATTTTTGCTCAGTTAATTGATCAGCTGACCTAAAATCAACTATATTAGGGAAAAGTCAACTATGATCAATTTACAATCAAACTTCATAATTTTTTATCCATGTCAACATTTTGAACTCATATATGGCAATTGATCAAGTTTGGATCATAATGCCTAAAGAAATTTGATCAGATCATCAAAAGGGCAAAATGGTCAAAATTAAGGTTTTGATTGAAAAGATTCAATTTTTGAGTTTTGACCTAACACATGACTTGTTTGCTTGATACATGATATCAAGGATTCAAATGCATCATTTGGACCTAATGGCATGGCTTAAAACATTTCCCAAAGATCAATTAATTGATAGTTGAAATTCAGTCAACTGATAAAAAGTCAACTGATACACTGAAAAGCCAAACTTTGACTTTTGATCAAAATCAAGTTTCAAAAGTCATATTTCATCAAGATATATCAAAATATGAAGTTTGTTCATCAAGAAATCAAAAAGTCAAAATTCATTTTGAAAAGTCAAAATTTCCAAGACAGAAATTTTTCTAAGTGTTAGAAAATTTACTTTTTTCTTGATTTTGTGTCAAATTTTCACCATGATGCAAGATGATTCAAGGAAAACTTCCAACATTAAAGTTGTAGATCTTAATGAGATCTAAAACATTATAGGACAAAATTTTTTCTATAAATGCTTGGATTTTAAGTTATAAATTCACAAAGACATGTCCATGAAACAAAAACACTTAGTGAAATTTTGCCCTAGTTAGGCAGATTTTTTATTTAACTTCTTGACCAATTTTCATATAGTTCCAAATTTAATTTTAAAAAATGTCCAACATTAAAGTTTTAGAGTGTGTTACAAGCTTTCTAAAAAGTCCAATAACCCATTGAGATCATGCTTGAGCTAGAAGTTTCAAAGAGATGAAGATGGCCTCATAAACTTGAATTATAGGTCATTTTCTTGATGAACATGAGAAAATCTCAAACCATGCTGCATAAATATTACTTTGCAGGATTCAAACTTGCTAATAACTCAATAATTAAATGTTTACACAACTGATAGAGCCATTGTCCAAGCATTTGAGCCATTATCCAAATTGCATTTCCATTTATGGCACAAAGTTACCATTCCATTCTTGAAAAGTTGCTTTAATCACAAAGTCAACTTGTCTTGAGCTTCTAACTTGTTTGTTAAGCACACACACACTCAACATACAAAGTCAGATAAACATGTTTAAAGCTTGTAACCACTCTAAATAGCCTCGTATTATGCATTGGGACAATGTATATCAAGCTTGCTTCAAAAACAAGCCAAAGAGCCATAACATGTGAACTTGTACTTATGATCATCCCAAGATATCAAAACCTTTTCCTATAAATTGAGACACTATTATGCAGCTTATGACACGATTTTAGAAGCCCTCAAACTCCCCCAAACTCCCGAAAACCAGAAATTGCAATACAAGCACAAAAACTTGCCATTTCTGATTTCTGAATCCAACCTCCCAATCCACTAGTGTGTTTCTTGGTCTTTCCTTCCAAAAGCTTCTAAACATCATCCATAAACAATCCCACACCCTGCTACACTTTTGTAACTCCATCTTCATCATCTTCCATTTTCAAAAACTGAAGCTTGCACTTTGACTTCTCCAGGACATTCCAGCCATCCATAGTTCAAGATAAGGGTTGCATTAGCTTCCTAGGGACTTGAGGAAGCTAACCAGACCATCACAACACCTTGAAAGGTCCTCTAACTCAAAACACGATCTCCAGCTACAAGGTGAGTTTTCTGACTTTTCATCTCATTATTTAGGCATTGTTAGACTTGCATTTTCAAAGACAAAATGTAGATACAGTTGCCCTGAAACTGTACATATCCATAGATTTCATTTATATTGCTTGAGTATGGAGAATTTTGGACCTGAACTTTCTGAAAAAATTAGGTTAGATTTGGTACTATTCAAAATTCATGCTTGTCTTTGATTTATAGTTTTAATCTTCTCTCGGATAAGCTTCACTTTCTCAGTAGTCTCTCGAACAATCTCAGATCCAAGTACCACACTTTCACCAGATTCATGCCAACACAACGGAGTCCTACACCTCCGACCATACAACGCCTCAAAAGGTGTCATCCTAATACTAGAATGGTAACTGTTATTGTAAGTGAACTCAATAAACGGAAGATAAGTATCCCACGAACCTCCCATCTTAAGAAATTCAATTTCCTTCTTACCACGAACGTCTTCAGGAAAATATTTCCTCATAAATTCCCTACGGAACATAACCCAAGTTACACTCTCACTTGCAGCTTCCAATCTTTGACAAGTCTCTAGCCACCAGTCATCAGCCTCGACCGCTAGCAT